ATTACACTCATCGAGACCTTTCATTTGAGTACCCACATCAATTTTTCATATATTTTATATATATATATGTATATATGAAAAATATATAACAATGCATGTGGGTACTCAAATGAAAGCTCTTGATCGTTATTAAAATTCTATATAAAAAGAAACTTTCGATTTTTTGAATAATTGAAATTTTTATCCTAGAAATAAATAACACTTTAAATAAATAAAGAATTAACATTTTTTCTTAACAAATCGTAGTATTTTAAATTCTTTAAAGTTAACTATGAACCCCGTAAATTGCGACCATGTATTTAAAAAAAAAAAAAGAAACTTATTTTTTTTCTCCAAAGTATCTTATTTCTCTCATCTCTGATTTGATAAAAAAAAAAAATGATAATTTAATTAGTCAACCTCAAGAAACTTTGAAAGTTCAACTTAAAGTTAAAAGTTATTTTATTGCACTCCAGAAATACAACACAACTTATTCCCATCATCAATGAGGCAAAAAATTTCAATTACAATAAAACTTGAATAAAACTAATTACACAGCAATAAATTCCTTCATACAGCTTACGATGAATAAAGTGATCATTAAAAATTAATAATACTCATTAAAAAGCTCTTTAGACTAATCTTCTTAGCATAAATACTAAAAATCAACCTAATAAGTACAACAAATAAAAAGCATTCAATAACAATAAACAATATTTTTCCAGGAACTAATCGTCTCTCCAGTAAAATACGCACTGGACTATTACCGACGTCTAAACGAAGCCGCGAAAGACGAGCGACACCACCGAAAAAGTATCGTCGACCTCGGGGAGTCAAACATGTCTTCATCAAACACCGGGTCTTCCAGCGTGATAAAATCAACTTCTTCCCACAGTATGCGCTCGAAGCGTTCAGCAAGCACGATAAGATCGCGCTCAAGGTCCATAGAGGACGACGCGGACAACCTGATGCTCGAGGAGCTGGATAACATCGAGAGCTCCGACCCGGAGACTGCCACCGAGGTCGAGATCAGCGAAAAGACCCTCAAGTTCAAGATTTCCACAGAGGGCAACGTCGCGCCCTCCTCCACCGGCCGCAAGAGCTACCCCGGCAGCAGAAAAGGCAGCCGCGAAAAATCCTCTCTAGACTATCACAACCATGATCTCGCCAAAGCCGTCAGAGATCACGAGCGCGAGCGCAGGAAAAGCCGCGGGGAGAATCTCAGCAGCGACATAAGCTCTCCGGTCAGCGCGAGGTCCGGAGAAGACACCAGAATTCTGGAAGAGTTCGAGAGAGACGAAATTTTGTACGTAGACGCCAGGATGAGCAAAGAAGACAGCAAACTTTCCGAAGAAAACGGAATAATTGAGAAGAACAAATCAAACAAGCGGATAAGCGTTGAAATGGCTGCTAGCAATATTGGGTCCAGTAGTTCCAGTAGAATTAATCGTAAAGACTTAGTAGTTATGACTGACGCGAATTTAAGGTGCTGCTGCGACGACAAATCGGCTTCTAATAACCACCACAAGTCGCTTTTGTCGCGGCTGAGGAATTTAACTGACCGTTTAAGTATCAGCTTTGATTCAAAGGACCCTCCGATGACTAAATCAAAGCATCACCATCATATCGTCACTAAAACTCTCACTAAAAGTAATTCTGTAGTGAGCAGTACTGGGACTAGTTCTAATAGCTCGGTGTTAATTTGTAAGCGGTGTAATTTAATAAAAAGCACTAAAGAGTCAACCAGCAGCAGCTCTGGAGGAAACAGCACAGTCGTTGCGCTAACGAGCATGGACAAACGGGCAATGACCCTCCCCAAGACCCGGAAATCCCACGACGGAAGAACCAAGAGCTGGAGAATGGTATTTACTAAGGAAAAAAGACCGTCAGCTTCTCTGGAAGCGCTCCCAGCGCATGACAGCTGCGAAAGCTCGATTGTTAAGCACAAAAGAAATCTTTCTAATCCGGAGGGGAAGCTTTCGGTCACTAAAAGTAGTAAGGAGGAAAAAAAATTAAATTTCAGCGAGATTAACGTCAGGACTGGAGCTGTCTCCAATAAGCCGGACATTGTTGTCCATCCGGGAAGCTCTTCTATTGTTGATGAGGATATTGATAAAGTTGAGATACGCAGAAGCTCGGCTAGCATGGAGGATATCTCGAAAATCACCAAGCAGGAACCGACGCTCTTAGGGTCTTTGGAGGACAAAAATTTGGAGGAGATGCAGCATACGGGAAGTCTTGATTCCATGCTGTATAAGGAGTCTACCAAGACTACTAAGAAAGATTTTGTATTCGCAAGTCCGTCTACTACTAAGAAATCTTCGCCGAGCTTGTTTTCAAGGTTCAAGTCCGGGATGAGCATTGATGGGAGAAGCAACAGTGGGTCGCTTAATGAACAGTCGAACCAACAGTCGCCCAGCTGGATTTCTTCGTTGACTGCGAGCTTTCGTCCTAAACGACATGGTGATATTGCTGGTCCAACGTCACATCAGATGCACTCGCCGACTCATGAAGAAGTTAAGTGATACGTTGTTGTGGTGGACAATGATAAATCGAGGTTTAACTACTTTACTGATTGGTGGGCTCAACACTCACCTTGCTGTACTGGTTGAACTTTTTTTTATTGAGACTTCAATAAAGTGAAGGATTTTTTGTTTTTATTTATTGTTAATTATTGAAGTTACATGTTACGGGTAGAAGCATTTTTATTCGACTGCTTCGTTTATTTTATTAAAATCTTGGAGAAAATAGACCGGAAAAAATAGACCAGGAAAAAATTTTATAGTTATGAAAAATTTATATTATTAGAAAATTGAAAGCGCTTTGCGCGCTTCCGTCGAAATGTTTATTATCAAGAATTTAATTAATCAATATTTTTATAAATTTAACTCAGTAATATTTAACCGTTGCCATAGTAACTGTTGTTATAGTAACCGTTGCTATGGTAACTATTGCCAAAGTGGTCACCATAGCAACGAAAAGCGACAACAATGAAAACGTCACATCAAGTTTTTAATAAAGAATCATTTCATTGAAATTATTGTAATATAAAAATAAAAATAATTATAATAATAATAATATTTTTTTTGTGTAACAAAAAATGGAGCAATCTATTCTAAGGGTGTTTGTTTTTCAGGAAAATTGTGGGGGTGGATATAATTTTTATTTTATAACAATTTTAATGAAATAATATGAATTTTTAATAACTTAAAAATTTTTTCCAAGTCTATTTTTTTCGGGTTTATTTTTTCCGATCTATTTTTTTCAATTACCATTTTATTAGGGCCTTGCTAGACAGTTTTCTTCCATTTTTTTTGTTTTAATTATCATTAACTGTTTTACAATTTTTTTTTATTTATTTTGTTATTAGAAGTATTGATTTTTAATTTAAAGTTTTGTTAGAATTTATATCATGGTAAAATTTTGTGAGTTAAATTTGACTTCAAAATTTGTTAATAATTTTTTTTCTTAATTTTTATTGATAAAATTGTAACACAGTTAAAAAATGGAAGTTAATGTTTAAAAATGGCCTTAATTTGCTATTCCAAATAATAAATTAATCAAAATTAGACAAGCCCATTCTCTCTAATTTTCTCCAGTTTTAATAATTTTTATTTTAAAAAACAAAATAATTATTAATAATATAAATATTTAAATACTGGAGTATTTACAGACTCTTAATAAAGTCTAACTGTTAAGTCGATTAAGAAAAAATAATTAAATATAATTATTTATTACGTACATATTATAAGTTAACTAATAATATTTAATTATTTCTTCGTCAATATTTAAAAGTAAAAGTATATATTACCTTACAAAAAATGAACTCGTAATTGTTAATTAGGTATCGCGAATGCGAGTTGTTAGTGCTGTAGATTTTATTTATTGTTTATCGTAGCTCGGTTATTAACGGCCGTTATTATAAAAATATAATATAATATATAAAATAATTATTTAATAAAAATCCAAATCGCCATGTGAAACGTATCTAATTATTATTGATTAATTAAAATAAAAAAAAACACATCCATTATCTCAGTAATATATCGATTACAGTAACTAGATAGGCGACCAGATATAAAAAATAATATAAAAATAAAATATACTCTGAATAAATATTTAAAATGTGTGCTTCTCAATCGCAGTATTGTTTAATGACTAAATAATAAATAAAAATGGTGCAATGTAACAACAAATAATAATTTTTGTTTTAGCATGCGTTCTTTTAATTAAATTATTGTGACTGTAATTGTAATTATAATTTAACTGCGATGTAAATGTTTTTATTCTGTATAGTTGGTAAATTATTGGATAAATGCGTAAAGAGAAGATATATATATATATATATTAAAAAAAAATAAACATGAAATGCATAATAATAATCAATATAACAATTGTAATTTCGATCAATATTTAGTGTCATAATATTAATTAATTAAATATATTTTTTTTTAATTATTATTTAAACAGTTTTTTTTTATGAATTAAGTTGTAAATTCATAACTTAAAAAATAATAACAATTATTATTACTTTTTAATTAATTATCACTTTGATTTTTAGATGTTTATATTTTTATACATCAATGTTTCTATACGGCGATAATTAAACCGCATGTATTGTTCAACTCTAGTCTTATTGTTTATTATAAATATTATTATTATTATTATTATTATTATTATTATTATTAAAATTAATTAACTGGGTCATCCATTTTTCAATTTATAATTTTTGTTACCAAGTCTCTACTTTTTATTTTAAAATAAGTAATGAGTAATTGAAACAAATGAATAAAATAATGAACAAAATTAATATCAAACTTCACGACCAATTTTTTAAATTGAATTTTTAAATCAAAGATTAAAAATAACTTCTCCAATCCAAATCGGAAAGTTACTTTAGATTATTTGTGATTTTACATCACAGTAATTAAAAAATATCGCGTTCCAGATGCCATAAGGACTTATATCGGCAAAAGGTCCCGGTGAAAAGCCATAAGGGCGTATAATAAAAATTTCTATTTTTTTTTGTGACTATATAAAAGTAATATTATAAATTATAAATATACATATATATATATTATTGGTAATTATAATTAATTATTAAGTTACTAAGGAATATATGATTAAAATATATGACAATTGATGAAAACACAAAAAATGCACTAATGACATTGAATGTAACTGTAATTATTAATTTTATTATTTTAATTATTATTATTGATTTCTATCTATTAATTATTATTATTATTATTATTATTATTATAATTATCAAGTAATTGGACAATTGTCGCTCGCTGGCGAGTGAAGTAGTATTGATTGTAAAGAATATGAGTGACTAATTTAAGAGTCCACGATTTTCATTCTAATTATTAATTGATTAAATGGTTAATAAGTATATTGATTAATCAGTGACGATTAATGTTATCAACGTGGTAATTACATATTAATTATGAATGTATAAAATTAATTATATAATATATGGTATGTAATTCAATTATTTGTCTTTTCAATCCTGTTTTCCATTATTTATTTCAATAAAAAGAGAAAGTTGTTTTTTTTTTGACAGAAAAAAGTTTTTTTTAATCAATAATGAAAATATATATTTAATGAATAAATTACTGAAAATTATTCACTAGGTTTCGTACCTAAGATTGGTATTATGTGTAGAAGATAATTGAAAATGAATAATTAAATATGGTAACAGGTATCTGAGATTTCAGTTGTGATATGCAAATTCGGTTTTAAATACAGATAAAATTTATACGGAAACTCTAATATTTTCCTATGAACTTGAGTCATATATTTATGAGCTTGCAAAGCCTTTATTGACACTAAATTCATTATCACTGTCTTTAGAAAGTGGGGTAATATTATTGAAATAATACGGCAAAAATTTAATGAATTTAAAAAAAAATTATTAATAGTGAAGAAATATAATTTTTCACTGGCAAGAATATTTTTGTAAAGAAGTAATGTAAGAATCGTTCAATTACTAATATGACATGCATAATTTTATTTAATCTGCGTATTAATTTTTTACAGAGATTATATCATTATTAAATATTATCTTTAATTTTTTTTTTTTTTTATTACACTTATGAAGAATCATAACTAGCTCATGACTCATGAACATATGAAGTAAATAACATTAATTTAACGAGGCATTTATATGCCTAGATAATGAATTAGCTCATAATTTTCATCGTTAAAATTTTTTGATAAAATAGAAAAATAACTTGAATAAATTATAAAAAAAAAAAAATATAACTTATTTGCATGAAAAAATATTTTTTGCAATCTTAAAATTATTATTAAAATATAATTTCTTCTATTTTAACAAATTAAAAAACAATAAATATGTTCATTAAATTAAATTAATAAGAATTAATTCAAAGTTTTTTAACTTGCAAAAATACACCCCCATCAGCGGTTGCTAGCAACGCTTTTTTACTAAGACGCATTGGTATTAAAGTTCTCTTACAAGGAGTGAATTCATACTTAGACAATAATTTAATCAGACCAAGTTTCGTTTGAAGCATACCAATTCGCATGCCTGAAAAAAAAAAATATTCATTAATTATTATATAATATATATTAATTTTTACTGCTGCTAATTATTTGATACAAATAAATAATTACCGATGCAATTGTGAGGACCTTCTCCAAAAGGTAAGTAAGTGCAAGGTAGAATTTTCTTCTTGTTAGCTTCCGAAAATCGCTCGGGGTCGTAAACTTCAGGATCTGGAAAGTACTCTGGGTCGTAATGCAAGCCCAGCATGGGAACCATAATGGGTGTTCCTTTTTTGAGAACGAGATTTGAGTCAGGAATTTTATAGTCTTCCGTGGCCACGCGGTCTAATACTGGCAGCGGAGGATATTTTCTCAGTGTTTCGGAGATAACCATATCTAAATACTGCAAGCTTGAAGCCTAGAACAAGAGATAGGATTTAATTAAATCCATAACATCGCTTATGGTTTTTAATTTTTGAAAAGTTTCAAACCAAGTCGTAGGTGACTTTTCCATCTGTTTTTTCAAGTCCTTCTATTATTTCTGCACGCAATCGGTCCTGAATTTTTGACTGAAGAGATATCTCGTACAACGTGAAGCTCAAAGCCGATGAACTTGTTTCAAAACCCGCGGTGAAGAATACTACAGCCTGGGCTAGTAAATTATCTCCGTCAAAATCTGAAATTATCAAAATTTTATTTAAAATTATAAAAAATTTGACAGGAAACTTTGACAGGAAATTAAATTTTAAAACTTGCAATATTTAATTGATAATTCTAAAGTTTTTTAAACAATATTTGAGGTCAAAATTTTTGAAAAAAATTACAAATAAATAATAAAATATTTAGAAATAATATTTACACTAAAAGAATATTTATTTAGAAAAGAAGAAATATTGTTTGAAAAAGTTGAAATTTTTTAAATTTAACTTCTGTTTATGAAAATTAAACCGGCATTTAAAAATTTTAAGAATTTTTATTTTATTAAAAAATTATTCCCAAAAAATAGAAAAAAAAAATCTGTAAGTGCAATTTTTCAAAAATATTTTTTTGTTCTAATTTAATTAATATTAAAAAATTATTCCAAAAAAATAAAAAACAATTTTCATTTATAAAAAACTGTAAGTGCAATTTTAAAAAAATATTTTTTTATTCTAATTTAATTCATAAAAAAAAAATTTAAAATTTAAAAACGTCGGCTAACTTTATTATTATTTTTCCAAAAATTCAAAACTATGAATAAGAACAATAATTTTGATAAATATATTAATAAACAAAAAACTTACCAAATTCATCTTTAAATATTTCAGTTTTGTTATTGCGCAACTCAATCAAAAGATCAACTAAATCTCCCCTCTGAAAATTCTGTCGTTCTCTTTCCCTAATAACTTCCCACAAAGTATTTCTCAAAAAATCGGCAGTCTCTCTCGGCAAAAATTCGATCTTAAAAAGTGTAAGAAACTGGGGCAGAAAAAATATCGAGAGAATCTCAAAATTCCGCTTGAAAGAAGTTTCAAGAATTTTGCGTCCATACTCTCGGAACTCAGCTTTTGGATCATTGAGACAGTTAGCTCTGATACCAAACGCGGTTGTTGCAATCATGTCTGTAGTAAATCTCGCACACAAGTCTTTTAATTCCAATTCTTTTCCTTCTCCTGCAGCATAAAAAATCTCTATAAAACTCCCAAAAAAAAGAATAATAATTTGATAAATTACCTTCCAAATTTTCAGACTCCATCAATGTAAGCAGATCATCCCCGACAACATCCATCAGCTCGAACAATTTTTTGACTTTTCCTGAAGTGTAAATCGGGGTCAGCTTAGTTCTTACTAATTTCCACTGGGGATTTTTTATAATAAACAAATTTGCGTCACCGATGCGATCATGAGGACTTGCTGAGACAAATCTATCGCTAAAAGCGTTAAAATCCTTCACTAATATTTGCTTGAGCAGTTTTGGGTCGCGTATTAACAAGCACGGTCGATCAAAAACATAAAATCCAATAAAAGGCAGACCAGAACATTTATCGTACATATCTTTTATCCACTCGCCGGCGTTCTTTTTGGTCATCAAACAGTCCCCGAAATTTCCAACAAACGCAGTAGGCGTTAACTCAAAAACTCCGCGATTTTTCCAGTACTTGAATTTACGCGTCATGTACAAATACGTGAAGACTATCAGTCCTATCACTAAAATTAAAAGGTCCAAAATCCAGGACCTTGTAAAGAACGCCATTGTAAGGAATTTTATCAATATTATATTATGTGAACAATTGCACAATCTGTTTACTACTGAAGGTATTAATTAAGAATAAACTAAAGTGTTTCTCGCTGTTACTGATGCATATTGCAGTAAACGCTTGTTTATATATTTTTCAACTGATTAGATTAATATTTACTGCGTGATCATCTTCTCTGTGGATATTTATTTAGTTTTTTTCTTCTTTTTCGTTTTCCATCAACACTCATAAAATATTACAGTAACTTACGCGAGATCAATAAAAATAATGAATAATAAGAATTTACCGAGATTTAAATTATTTGAAGAAAATATTAATGGCCAGGAAATCCATTCTTAGTTTTTTTTTTTTTTATTGCTATTGAATTATAACAATGAATTTTATGTTATTTTTTATTACTCCGTCTAATTAAAAAGAGGATGATAAAATAAATTCTTTTACGTCTATAAAACGGTGCACAGTCCAATATCGTCATGGGTATTTTAAATAAAATTTTTCCAAATATATATTTTTTAATTATCTATTTTTTTTAAGTTAATTAAATAATTAAACTTATCAAATTTTATGAAAATTAATTTTAAATTTAATTACTGGGAACAATAAAATTTAATTTGATTTATAAAAATAAATTATAATACTTAAGAGCCGACGTTTTTAATTTTAAAAATTTATTTTTATTTATTAAATTGGAACAAAAAAATATTTATTAAAAATTGCACTTCAAATTTTTCAATATTTTTACAAATTAAATTTTTAGATTTAGGCTAACTTAACATAAATAAAGAAATTTTGATAATTATAAAAAAAAATAAATGATAAAAATTAAAGTTTGATAAAAAAAATTTTTATTAATTATAATTATAAATAAATTATGAAATTTTTTTAACATTTAAGTAAACGCCGCCTTCAGAGACTATGAACAGAGCTTTAGGACTCAGTCGCATGGGTATCAAAGTTTCTTCACAAGGTGTAAATTCGTATTTGGACAGTAATTTTATAATTTTTTTTTTTTTAATTGTTCATTTTTTATGTATTTTTCAAAAAAAAAAATATATCAATAAAATCAAATAGAAATTTCGTTCAAAAAAAATTAAAATTTTTTTTAATTATTTAAAAAATCAGAAAATATTTAGAGATTTAAAAATTAATCCAATCTTCTTTAGTTTTATCTGAAAGATAAATTAAAAAATTTTTATAAATTACATAAATATTTTTTTTTTATTTCTACAAATAGAATTTTTTCTAAATTCTCTTGATAATAATTTTTTTTTTGTGAAGAAATAATAAAATTTTTATTACCTTCAAAATTTAGCGACTCCATAAAAGCCTCTAATTCGTCGCCAACGACAGTCATCAATTCGAACATCTTCTTCAACCTGCCCGACGTGTAAATCGGCGTGAGCTTAGACCTCAAAAGTTTCCACCTAGGATTTTTTATAGAAAATAAATTGGCATCACCAATCGAATCGTGAGGACTTGCAGTGAGGAATCTATCATTGAAACAGTTGAAATCTTTGACGAGTACTTGCTTGACGAGCTTGGGGTCACGTACCAAGAAGAAGGGCCTATCAAAAACATAAAATCCTATGTAAGGCAACCCAGAACCTTCGCCGTAAATTTCTTTCAACCATTCTCCAGGATTCTTCTTGCTCATCAAACACTCGCCGTAATTCCCGACAAATGCAGTAGGAGGAATTTCAACTACACCCAGTTTTTTCCAGTACTTGAACTTTCGCGTCATGTACAAATACGTGAAGACTATCAGTCCTATCACTAAAATTAAAAGGTCCAAAATCCAGGACCTTGTAAAGAACGCCATTGTAAGGAATTTTATCAATATTATATTATGTGAACAATTGCACAATCTGTTTACTACTGACGGTATTAATTAAGAATAAACTAAGGTGTTTCTCGCTGTTACTGATGCATATTGCAGTAAACGCTTGTTTATATATTTTTCAACTGATTAGATTAATATTTACTGCGTGATCATCTTCTCTGTGGATATTTATTTAGTTTTTTTCTTCTTTTTCGTTTTCCATCAACACTCATAAAATATTACAGTAACTTACGCGAGATCAATAAAAATAATGAATAATAAGAATTTACCGAGATTTAAATTATTTGAAGAAAATATTAATGGCCAGGAAATCCATTCTTAGTTTTTTTTTTTTTTATTGCTATTGAATTATAACAATGAATTTTATGTTATTTTTAGGATGATAAAATAAATTCTTTTACGTCTATAAAACGGTGCACAGTCCAATATCGTCATGGGTATTTTAAATAAAATTTTTCCAAATATATATTTTTTAATTATCTATTTTTTTTAAGTTAATTAAATAATTAAACTTATCAAATTTTATGAAAATTAATTTTAAATTTAATTACTGGGAACAATAAAATTTAATTTGATTTATTAAAATAAATTATAATACTTAAGAGCCGACGTTTTTAATTTTAAAAATTTATTTTTATTTATTAAATTGGAACAAAAAAATATTTATTAAAAATTGCACTTCAAATTTTTCAATATTTTTACAAATTAAATTTTTAGATTTAGGCTAACTTAACATAAATAAAGAAATTTTGATAATTATAAAAAAAAATAAATGATAAAAATTAAAGTTTGATAAAAAAAATTTTTATTAATTATAATTATAAATAAATTATGAAATTTTTTTAACATTTAAGTAAACGCCGCCTTCAGAGACTATGAACAGAGCTTTAGGACTCAGTCGCATGGGTATCAAAGTTTCTTCACAAGGTGTAAATTCGTATTTGGACAGTAATTTTATAAGACCAAGCTTTACTTGGAGTAATCCAATTCGCATGCCTAAGATAAAAATTTTTCATAAAATAAAAATAAAAAATATTGATGAATAATAATAACTATAATTCACCTATGCAATTGTGTGGTCCGTCTCCAAAAGGCAAATAAGTACACGGTGGTATCATTTTCTTATTCGTCTCTGAAAACCTTTCAGGATTGTATTTTTCTGGATTTGGAAAATATTGAGGGTCAAAGTGTAACCCCCTGACAGAAATTAACACTGGAGTTCCTTTTTCTAGAACAAGATCAGAATCGGGAACCTGGTAGTTTTGATTCGGAACTCGATCCAAGAAAGGCAACGTAGGATACATCCTCAATGTTTCCGCGATAACCATATCCAGATAAGGTAAGCTGGTGATCTGAAATCCCGAAATAATTTACTTGGTAAATAATACTTAGATAGAAAAATTTGTTCTTCCCGAGTGTAACTATGAGATAGTGTAACTATGATAACACCCTTCTATGAGTGTAACTACCTAAAAGTTGATGAAAGAAGACACTTACCAAGTTATAGGTAACTTTTCCATCGGTTCCTTCCAGCCCTTCAACAATTTCAGCGCGCACCCTGTCCTGAATTTCCGGTTGCAGAGCAAGTTCGTACAAAGTGAAGCTGAGGCTTGAAGAAGTTGGTTCAAAACCGGCGTTGAAGAATACTATTGTTTGGGCCACCAACATATCACCGTCAAAATCTTAAACATTTAAAGTCGATTTTAAGATTATCAACGAAAATTATTAAGACTACGAATAAAATTAAATTATTATGTTAATCATTGATGTCAATGTCAGAGAGTTACCGAGTTTATCTTCGAAAACCTTGGCCTTGTTTTTTCGCAACTCCATCAGAAGATCAATGAAGTCCCCTCTTGTCTCACCCGAACGCTCTCTTTCAGCGATCACATCCCAGACCGTCTTTCGGAAGAATTTGGTGTTTTCTTCCGGCACAAATTTTATTCTGCAAGGTGTTGCGAATTGCGGAGCGAAAAAGAGGGTAGAAATTTCAAAGTTGCGGATCATTGTAGTTTCGAACATCCTACGACCTTTTTTCCGGAATTCAGCGTCGGGGTACTTCAGACAATTGGTTTTTATTCCAAATGCTGTTGTTGAAATTAAGTCAGTTGTAAATCTTGCACACAAATCTTTTAGTTCCAAAGTTTTTCCTTTTTCTGTAATAATTTAAAATTTTAAAATTGTTTTTATATTTTTGTTAATTTTTTACAAGTTGAGGTGAAAAATTGTCATTTTCAAATTTTTTTTTTTATTCTGGTTGTTTTTACGGCGCATTTATGATAAAAAATGTCGTGAAAGAAAAAAAATAAAGATTTCGATAGCGTTTTTGCTTTCAAAAATTGAAAAAAATTTTGGCTCTCATGTTTTTGGATAAAATTTCTATTTTATCTTTTTTTGATCTTTTTGATATACATTTTTTTGAAAAGCATAAAAAAATAAACAATTAAAAAAAAAAAAGTTGAATATCACAATTTTCTAAAAAATTTATAAATTTTTTTGAAAATTTGTTAAAATTGTCATAATCAATTTTTTTTTTTTAATTGTTCATTTTTTATGTATTTTTCAAAAAAAAAAAATATATCAATAAAATCAAATAGAAATTTCGTTCAAAAAAAATTAAAATTTTTTTTAATTATTTAAAAAATCAGAAAATATTTAGAGATTTAAAAATTAATCCAATCTTCTTTAGTTTTATCTGAAAGATAAATTAAAAAATTTTTATAAATTACATAAATATTTTTTTTTATTTCTACAAATAGAATTTTTTCTAAATTCTCTTGATAATAATTTTTTTTTTGTGAAGAAATAATAAAATTTTTATTACCTTCAAAATTTAGCGACTCCATAAAAGCCTCTAATTCGTCGCCAACGACAGTCATCAATTCGAACATCTTCTTCAACCTGCCCGACGTGTAAATCGGCGTGAGCTTAGACCTCAAAAGTTTCCACCTAGGATTTTTTATAGAAAATAAATTGGCATCACCAATCGAATCGTGAGGACTTGCAGTGAGGAATCTATCATTGAAACAGTTGAAATCTTTGACGAGTACTTGCTTGACAAGCTTGGGGTTACGTACCAAGAAGAAGGGCCTATCAAAAACATAAAATCCTATGTAAGGCAACCCAGAACCTTCGCCGTAAATTTCTTTCAACCATTCTCCAGGATTCTTCTTGCTCATCAAACACTCGCCGTAATTCCCGACAAATGCAGTAGGAGGAATTTCAACTACACCCAGTTTTTTCCAGTACTTGAACTTTCGCGTCATGTACAAATACGCGGCCACTGTCAGTCCAAACACTATGATTAAAATGTCCAACATCCAGTACTTTGTAAAGAAAGCCATTGTAACTATTTTGTAGTCTATCATTAATAAATTATTAAGTATCCGATCAATGCAGTTTTGAAACTTTTAAATAAATTTTATCTTCTTCATTAAATAATGTATGAAGCGATTCCTTATATAGTTTTCACTCTTGACAATTTGCACATTATCTCAGTGGCACGTATTTGTTGACTGACTTCTTATCACCCTAGTGTTTTTTGTAATTCAATGCTGATAATTATAGAAATCGCTGAAAATTATTTAACTGATCCAAGTCAAGACTTTTGATTTTTTTTTTATCTTACATTTTGTAATAAAATGCAAATATTTACTCTATAATCTGCATTTTTATCATTATTAATTATTAATTATAAATTATTATTTTTTTTTTTTTTTAATTGTTCATTTTTTATGTATTTTTCAAAAAAAAAAATATATCAATAAAATCAAATAGAAATTTCGTTCAAAAAAAATTAAAATTTTTTTTAATTATTTAAAAAATCAGAAAATATTTAGAGATTTAAAAATTAATCCAATCTTCTTTAGTTTTATCTGAAAGATAAATTAAAAAATTTTTATAAATTACATAAATATTTTTTTTTTATTTCTACAAATAGAATTTTTTCTAAATTCTCTTGATAATAATTTTTTTTTTGTGAAGAAATAATAAAATTTTTATTACCTTCAAAATTTAGCGACTCCATAAAAGCCTCTAATTCGTCGCCAACGACAGTCATCAATTCGAACATCTTCTTCAACCTGCCCGACGTGTAAATCGGCGTGAGCTTAGACCTCAAAAGTTTCCACCTAGGATTTTTTATAGAAAATAAATTGGCATCACCAATCGAATCGTGAGGACTTGCAGTGAGGAATCTATCATTGAAACAGTTGAAATCTTTGACGAGTACTTGCTTGACAAGCTTGGGGTTACGTACCAAGAAGAAGGGCCTATCAAAAACATAAAATCCTATGTAAGGCAACCCAGAACCTTCGTCGTAAATTTCTTTCAACCATTCTCCAGGATTCTTCTTGCTCATCAAACACTCGCCGTAATTCCCGACAAATGCAGTAGGAGGAATTTCAACTACACCCAGTTTTTTCCAGTACTTGAACTTTCGCGTCATGTACAAATACGCGGCCACTGTCAGTCCAAACACTATGATTAAAATGTCCAACATCCAGTACTTTGTAAAGAAAGCCATTGTAACTATTTTGTAGTCTATCATTAATAAATTATTAAGTATCCGATCAATGCAGTTTTGAAACTTTTAAATAAATTTTATCTTCTTCATTAAATAATGTATGAAGCGATTCCTTATATAGTTTTCACTCTTGACAATTTGCACATTATCTCAGTGGCACGTATTTGTTGACTGACTTCTTATCACCCTAGTGTTTTTTGTAATTCAATGCTGATAATTATAGAAATCGCTGAAAATTATTTAACTGATCCAAGTCAAGACTTTTGATTTTTTTTTTATCTTACATTTTGTAATAAAATGCAAATATTTACTCTATAATCTGCATTTTTATCATTATTAATTATTAATTATAAATTATTATTCATCTATATTATTAAGAGAATAAGGAAAATTTTGTCTCCAAGATAGTCATATGATAAAATCGGTTTTTTTTTTTAGGAAAATTTAATGTCATTGCAAAGGTCTTGATTTGAATTTGTGTCTTTTCAAGATTTCATATAATTCTCACCAATAGTTAATTTATTATGATAAGGATGTAGGCTGCATTTGAAAATGTTCTATCTCCAGATACATAATTAGAAAATGACCTTATATCTTGTGAACTATTGACGTTTTTAAAGATATAAACTCATCCCGATGTTACACTCATCGAGAGCTTTCATTTGAGTACCCACATCAATTTTTCATATATTTTATATATTTATATATTTCACAAATACCATATATATGAAATATATAAAAATATCATATTAAGAAATTACATTGTATCTTGTCAACTAATGATATTTTTAATGATATAAGCTCACCCCGACGTTACACTCATCGATACCTTTCCTTTGAGTACCCACATCAATTTTTCATATATTTTATATATATTATATGTATGTATATATGAAAAATATATCAAAATGCATGTAGGTACTCAAATGAAAGCTCTTGATGAGTGTAACATTAAGATGAGCTTATATCTTTAAAAACGTCAATAGTTAAGAAAGTACAGTGCAATTTAACAAATATCTTGTTAAATACTGACATTTTTAAAGATATAAGCTCACCCCGGCGTTACATTCATCGAGACCCTTTATTTGAGTACCCACATCTATTTTTCATATATTTTATATATATTATATATATGTATATATGAAAAATATATCAAAATGCATGTGGGTACTCAAATGAAAGTTCTTGACGAGTGTAACATCGGGATGAGCTTATATCTTTAGAAAGGTCAATATTTAAGAAAGTACAGTGCAATTTAACAAAAGTCATTATTTAATAAAAACAAAATTTTATTTATTCATAATTCAAGAGTCACGGCATTAAACTTATTTTAACTATTGAAGAACTTTTTAATGAAGATTTATGCAATAGCAAGATTTTTTATAAAGTTTCCTAATATAAAAAAAAATAAAGAACAGATGTAAATAAAATTATTTACAAAAAAGGTCAAAAAACAAACCAATTATTTTTCTCTCGCATTCTCATCTTTATTACATTCACTAGACATTACGAGTTTTTAATTACATTAGTCAAAACATTCAGATTTTTTTTTGCTTTTATAGTTTGAGATATTGTTTAAGTATTTATTATCTTTTTTTCAGTGATTACAATTAGCAATTAATCATATAGTTAATCATCCGCATGTCTGTTTTTTTTTCTTCCACTTGGAAATTTAATCTGTGATTATTTTAGTCTTTACGACGATATTTATGAGTAAATATATTAATTAATACAATGTTAATAAACAAAAAAAACAGCCAAATAAGATATAAAATCACCAATTTAATTTACACAAAACTTTTAAACTGATTACTATTGATATTCATCCTGATATAGATTATCGATTTCGTTAAATAATAAACAACATAAAAATATCCATAGCTACAATTGTAATAATTAATTATTTATTTATACTGATTAATGCTAGTCTATTGACAAGATATTTTCCCTACAATCTGCATGACAATTTTTATATTTTAATTAATCAAATAAATTCAACTGATTATTTATTTTTGGTACGAATCATAACAATGGAATCGGGGCACCGCTAAAATTGTACACCAAGACAATTAAATAATTACAATATTCGTCATTACAAGGCATCCTATGACTATAAACAATAGTTTTATGTATTTCAATAGAAAACATAGTAAAAAAAAAATATTCAACTGCCAGGACTTAATATCTTACACGATTACTCATTTTTGCCACTGTTATTATTATTATAAACTATTTTTATAATACGTGATTTATCTCATTAACAAGTTATAAAAAATGAGTATAAATATTTTAAATAATACAACATAAATAATAAAATAGTAACAATTCATAGTTATTAAAATTAAAAATTATAATTAATAAAAAAAAAGCGTATCAAGTGGTCATTGTTAGATGATAAAAAGACATTTCGTAGTCAGTGATAATTAGTGCAATTGAAGATTACAAAGTTCGTCATGATTAAGTTAAGTTACATTTGACATTGTGCGAAGATTAAGATTGGTGCCCTAGTATAGAATAAGACTTAGAAACGGTTTTTAAAAATTATTTTTAATTTATAATTATTAATTATAAATATCTTGTGCTTGTTTTTATTTTATTACTTATCTTATTCTTAAATATGAACACAAAATTTTTACGTTTTTAAAAACGTCTTTGTAAACATTTGTTACTAATGAATAAAATGACAATTTTTTTTTTTTTTTTATAAGAGAAGAAAAATCTTTAGATTTAAAGAGTTATTATTAAAATTAATTATGATTATAAAAAATAATTGATCGACTTTGAGTAAAGACTTATCGGGAGCTGAGAAAAAATCATTAGGTACAAGTGGTGAATTATTAAATGTTATTATGCTATTGTTATTATCTATTTATTTTAACGTATACGTCATTTGTGCTAACGTTCATTTTTTTTTTATATTTATTACCATTATTATTACTACTGTCCTCAATAATAATGACAATAATAGTAATAATAAAAATATAAATAGAACTCTAAAGTTATAAGTACGCTATTCGTATTTATTCCAAAAATAAATAAAATTTTGTGCTTGCTTGCGAATTTGTGGTCAAAAAAATATAATAATAAAATTTTATGCGAATACTGAATAAAAAAATTGGAAGCACTTTAAAAAAAAAAACATATGTTTACTCTATCTGTGCTGACACTCAATTTTCTCCATTATTTTAAAAGTAAAAAAAAGATAAAAAATTTATAAAAACTTGTCCTATTATCTAATAACAGGACGCAAATAAGAAATATTTATTATAGACTCAAAAAAAAAAAATTAAAAATAAAAGTCACGGAAACTGCTAGAGTACATTTAAATAAAAAGCATTAGAAAAAATTAATACCAAAGACTTGTTTAAAAATATGTAAAACAATAAAATTATTTCAGTCAATTTCTACGTAAATATGAGTAAGAAGAAACGTGATGATAAAATAAGCGAGTTATTTAGTTATCTAAAGTTCTAACTATACAAATGGCATTTATAAGTCTCAATGAAATTAGTCTTATCGGTAAATATTATTTCAAACATCCAAAACCAACGTTTTACGTGGTATATTATTATAATTAATTTTTTTGTCTAACTCAGCAATTAATTCAGCAACTTTAAGCTACAATATTACATTAAAAAATTGCTGAGTAAACGTCTAACAGCTTAAAATTATTTTATAGTAATAATAATCATAATCATAATTATTATTATTATTATTATTAGTGTTACAGCTATTAATGAAATTTACTTTTTTTTTTTTTATAAAAAACAACCGGAAAAAAACTTTCGCTACACCGATGGCAGTTATAATACATTGCACGCGAGTTCAGCATACACGAGTCAATAATATCTAGTTTCTCGTTTCGCTTACTAGTTAAACTTTATACTTTATTTTTGCCATGGCAGTATCTCAGTCAATTGTGATGCTATCATTTATTCTCCCTAATAATTAGTCACTAGCAATAAAAGGGAACTAGTGATAAAAAAAAAAATCATTAAAAAAAAAAAACAAAAATAAAATTAAATAAAAAAAATGAACGACATGTATTTTTTAGGTTGTCTCTTCTTAGAACGGCTTGATTCAAATGCAAGTCTCTAAGACAAGACGACCTTGCGTTGTATCTCAGAAAGCTTCAACGAAGCTCGCTGGAAATAGTCCAGTGCGGCCAGTACGTTGCTGAGTACCTTTGTACCAACCATCATCACGTTTCTTGTGTACGTAAATAATATCACCGATCCTGAGTTCTAGCTCGAACTCGCTGTTCGGTGGATAGGGTACGATGCACCGGAATCTGTTTACTCGTTCTCTGTATCAACAATAAAATAAATAAATAAATAAATAAATTACAAACAAGTAAATGAAAATGGAGTAAATAAACCAGAGTTAATTATTTACTGTACTAATAGAACTTAATGCAAAGTCAAAGGTAAAGGCAAAGATTCAAAGTTACCGTTCACGCATCGTCGGTTGCTGTTTGCTTTGCTTTCCCATTCCAGCGTCCAGGGAGTTGCTTTTGCGATGATGATTTCCCGCTGCAATAACCCCGGCTTCTCCGGATCTATCAAAATTTATTTCAACTTCAATCAAAGTCAAAAAAACAACAAAAATAATATTATACATGTCGTTTTGTTGGCTAATTAAATTTTATTTACAAAATTACATAGACAAGCGCTTTTAGGTGCAATCAGAGCACAAGCTCATTACATGCATGCATTCAATTTAATTATTTTTATAACTATCATTATCATTAGTGAAGAAATAAATTATTTATTTATCAATTTAAACATGGCCAAGAAGCTCTTTTTGGGGTTTAATTAATCAGACTCATCAATTTAATTAAATAAATTAATTATCTCTCCTTAGAATCTTGATAAATCTCACTGGATAAACTGTAATATTTTTGCAAATCTTTAAAATGTGAAATTGTTATTTTCTTTCGAAATTATAAACGGACGTTTTAATTAGCAAATTTTCTAACAACATTTTAGAAAAAATTCTCAAATTTCTATTTCTAAAAAATAAAAAT